TCAGCCCATGGGCACGTCCAGGGCAGTGAAAAGGAACCAAGGACACTTCTACAGAGCTGGCCGGCCTCGCTGCCACCTGGTGGGAGAGCAGGCTAGAGACGTGCACTGCCATGCAGCAGACACTCAAAGCAGGCAGACCAATGCCAGGGGCTGAGCTGCGAGCGGTTCTTACTGGGGAGGAGCGAGCACACAGAGGCCAGGGAGAATGGGTGCCTGAGACACAGTGGAAAAGTACCATGTGACAGCACCAGGGATGACACGGCTGTGGGAAGGACGGAGGGCAGGGAGAGAGAGAGTACAGGAGCTGGGTAAGCACAGGCATGGGGTGGGACCAGCAGTGGAGAGAGCAGCTTCTCAAGCAAGCATAGCTCAAGGGGCCAAAGCAGGCGTTTAAAGTGACAACCCCAGCTACCAGCAGTTGGGGAGCCAGAGGTCCCACTTACTAAGTCCCACTTACCCTCCTCCTCAGACCCTTCTGTGAAAACTAGGTGTGTACTTTTACTGGATGAGGTCGGGCCTAAGTAAGCCTGGCTGCCCGTGAAGGGATGGCCTGTCCTGGCCTCCCTGCAGAGTCAGATGAAGTTCAGTTAAGCCTGTCTGATTTTCTGCAAAGGATATAATGTCTACATTTCGGCCATCGCAAGTGCATGGGGAGCCAGGCTTGGTGACATTCAGGAAGTTGAGGAGGGAAAGCTGCTCTAACTAGGCGTCTGGAGTCAGGGTTAGGCAGGCTCTCCACCCCTGTTCCTTGTGGGTGGGAGAAGGCACAAAGGACACTCAGCAAGCAATGGCCGTGCCAGCACATCCACCCCAGAGGTGCTGCTTCTTGGGGCTGCCCAGAGCTCAGGAGCATTTCCTGTGTTTCACAGAGGGGTCTGGACACAGCGCCCCCACCTGTGCTTCCATTCAGTGGTTTATCTGCATCAGCCCCTAGACCCTTATCACCTTTGCTGTGACTACACAGTACTCCATTTGAACTGGCTATAATTTCTTTGTGTCTCCCTGTAAACAGACACTGAGGTTGAGTCCAGTCTTTGGCTATTTCAAAAGCGACAGCGATGTCTAACCGTGTAAACCGATCATTCCTCACGTGGCAACACTCCTGTAGCTTCTGGCGAATCAGAAATGAACCTTTTAGACAAGTCAAGACAGAGGTGGAGTACACTTACGTTGTTCGCCTAGGAGACAAATCTTGGCTTTGGGAATGACACTTGAGGTGGTGGGGAAAGAAATGGCAGAGAAAAGCTGAGTTTCAACAAATAGAGCTCTGAGTGAGGAGTCAGTAATGGACCTAGATCAGACCCAACCTGCTCAATGCTCGGCCCATGAACTCACTTACACACAAGAGGGGAGAGCCAGGGCTGGGTGTGCAGCTCAGTGGTAGAGCCCTTGGCTGGCAACGCAGAGGCTCCAGGGTCTATCCCACCACTGCCAACAGGAAGAACAAAAGCCTAGACCTGGAGTGTCTGTCATCTCTCCCCTGCTCCACTAGGATGAATGGGTCACCAAGACACCAAGCTGCAACTGCTATCTCTGAATGAAGGAATGAGACAGTGAACGGAGGGTCTCTAGCTTCCAGTTTAGCCTTCCCAAATGACGGAAAAGCACCCCTCATCACACCTCCTGTCAAAGCCATGGGGACGTCACAGTCACGCAAACACTCATGTGACATTCACCTGCCTGCTCCCGGTTCATCACTGTTACGTAACTCACCACCCAGCACCCTACCTAAACATCCCTCTCCAGCCATGGAAGATGGGGGCAGTCTCAGGCAGGAATCCAAGTGTCCTCCCTGAGAATGAGGACATGTAACCAGCAGGACAGGGCTTCCTCCTCATCCCCAAAGCAGGCCCAGCTACTAGAAAGTGTGGATGAAAGGAAAGGCCCCCTGCCATCTAAGTGGGAGAGACCTCTGCCAGAGAGGGACAGACAGTCCACCTGGCTCCATGCACTCATGGGTCCTAACCCCACAGAGACATCCAGGAACTCCTAAATGTCAAGGCTCCCTAACTGAACTGCTTCACACAGCAAAGATCAGCTGAGACAAATCCTGACTGTCACATTCCTGCTCCCTTAAACCACACTGTGACACTCATGAATCACACAATGCCTTCTTGGAGGTGAGGCAGGACCCAAACCACCCAAGAAGGCTCACTCTACCTCACTGCTATGTCAACTGCTTGTGTCCCAGGTCTCTGTGTGTGCTCCGTGTGGCCCCACTGTCTGAAGGTCCTCCCTTCTCCAAATGCCATGACCCACCATCTGCACAGTTTTGGCTCAACTGCCCATCAGCGCACCCCAGGCAGAGCAGACTGCTGCTGTCTCCTGGGTCCCCACAGATCAATCAAGGCCCTCATTATACATTTTTCTACCTCTGGCAACTTGGTATGCCAGGCTTTCCCAGGAGGCTGTGAGCAATCTGGTGGAGAGCAACACTGGTGGACACTCAGGTCAGGCCAGTAAAGGGCCAGAATTCCTAGGACCACAGGCAATTCACCCTCTGAGTGTCAGCCTCTTCATCCACAGAATAAGAATAATGATTCCCAGGGCCAAGGCCACTGGGCAGGATAATTTGTGAAGCCCTACACAAATCACATTGAGCATGGAATTAGGGAAATTACATGCCAATATTAACAATATAAAAGTGATCACACCACACCTTTGCCAACACCTATTACTGCGCTGTGCAGACACCCGTGTGAGTGCTGCAGGGATCCCCCACTTGCTGCTCACAGGAGATAAACAGAGATGCCAACCAGTGGCTACAACAGCGCCTTCAGACCTTTTCTATGCGTGACCCATGGGCCTTAGAGAACAGCTGTGCCCTGCGGTCCTCAGCCATTTGCCACAGGACAGGCCTCTCCTGGCACAGCTTACCCACAGGGGTTCACCAGGAGAAAAACTCAGGGTGGGGAAGCCATTTGACATGAAAATCCTTTTCAGAGTGACAGGTGCAATTACCTGGGTGGGGGGGGATAGCCATCTTGGAATAGGCCATGACATCCCATGTAGAGAACTCGCTAGTCTCAGCAAGGGAAACAGTCTTCCCAAGATCACTGTTCAGACTTCAGGTTGTGACCGTAACAACAGATGTGCATACACCCTTCTTCACATCCATGTGACCTGTCAACCCTCCAAACTGGGCCCCTCATCCTGGTGACCAGGCTTTGACCTGAGAACTCACCTGGCACAGGGAGGTGGGCAGGGGGTTAGGAAGCCCATTGTGAAGTGAAGCTTAGGAATAGTAAGTGGCCTGCCCAAGGTCACCCCAGTTTCTAGGCCTGCCGATGCCCTATCCATCATCCATGCCACCACATTGGCCAGGATGGAGGCTGAGAAGACCTCATCATTCCCACAGGGCTTCAAGCGAAGCACCAGGACCATCACCACTCTTCTCTACCTGTGGCCAACTTTATAACAACCCAGGCAAATGCTTGTGACCCCATACTCAGTAAACAGCGAGGCAGTGTAAGCACCTACCAGAATGAACATCAAACTCAACACCAATTCCTTCTTTCCTGAGGAGGTGTGGAGAGGTTAAGATGGGGTCCTGAGTGGCTACTCCACCAGCAGCAGCAGGGCATGGGCTACAGCAGACTGCAGATCCACAGTGCAGTCCTCGCTAAGCCAATGCTGCCTCTGTATGTGACTAACACACAGGAGAGGGAGCTGGAAATGGTGTGGGTCTGGCACAAAGGCTTTCTGGGTGGGATCTTCCCGCTCCGGTTCCCACCCCCAGACAAGGAAAAGGGGGTGTCTGCTGTGCTTCCTGCCTTCTCACAAGCCCGAGACCTCCCTCACCCCTGTAGGCGGACACTTGGCACTGCTCTCCCGAGTGATGCAACCTCAATGTTAACAGAAGGCAGGCCTGTTCTGAGCTGGACATGGCGGTGCAGACCAGCACTCACAGGTGAGGGCAAGAAGATCAGGAGCTCTGAGCCAGGCATGGTTTAATCCCAGCCCTTGGGAGGCAGAGACAGGGATCCCTGTGAGTCTGAGGCCAGCCTGGTCAATGCAGAGTTCCAGATCTGCCAGACATACACAGGGAGACCCTGTCTAAAGTGAGTAACTAAAATTGTTAAATAAATGAAATAAATCGCTGGGCATGGTGGTGCATGCCTTTAATCCCAGTACTCAGGAAACAGGGGCAGATGGATCTCTGTGAGTTCAAGTCCAGCCTGATCTATATAATGAGTTCAAGGATAGCCAGGGCTATGTAGAAAGACCTGTCTCAAAACATAAGTAAGTCAAGACAACCTATCCTGGTCACCATGGAGGAGTCACAGTCCTTCAAGGATAATCTTGAATGGCAGCCATTAACCATCCACTGTTCATTTGCTCACTCAAAACTACCTCAGCACCTCAGCACCTCCTCAGTGCAGGCTTCATGCCAGACAGTCAGACACTGCTCACTGAAGGCAGGAAGATGCCCACTGGAAGCTGCACACCAGATAGCCATGCTGCTCTCCAGCCACAGCTAGGGATATGAGCAAAAGTTGCCTGAGTGTGTGGGCCAAGTCCTGGTCCTCCACATCCTCCGCATGTGGCTCTGAATGGCTGTTGAGAATACTGCTGGCTAGGGGCTGGAGAGACGGCTCAGTGGTTAAGAGCACTGACTGCTATTGCAGAGGACCCAGGCTCAGTTCCCAGCACCCTCATGGCAGCTCACAATTATCTGTAACGCCAATTCCTGGGGATCCAATACCAGTGTGTGTGTGTGTGTGTGTTTTACCTCCCTGGGTATGTGGTGCACATGCACACATGCAGACAAACACACATATGTACAAAATAAAAATTAATAGCTCTTAAAAACAAATGCTACCAGTGACTTCTTAGTGTGTACTGGGCAAGACATCTACCCCACACTCCACAGAGCAATCAGGAGAAAACCTAAAAGCAGGGACTCGCCCAAATCCCTCCACAGTGCTCCCAGCTCCACTTCCTCCCTTTCTGAGAGGCCACCTTTGGAGATCAAGCACGACAGTCCCACAGGCACTTACCTGTAAGGCTATGCCAGTTGGTAGAGCCACGGGGTTGGTTTTGTGCATGGATTCTGATCATTGTATAAGCTGCCCCCTCTGCCTGAAGCTTACTTTCTCCACTTTTCCACATGGTGACATCATACCTGTCACCTCATCAGAACAGCGTCTGCCCAGGCAGGAATGTACCCTCAAGGCGTCCAGGACAATTACAATTGCCCTGAAGCTGGTGTCTCTCTCCCTAGCTGGTGCAGCTCCCCACATACTGCCTGACACACAGGACGCCTGAAGAAATTAAATGCCCTGCAAGGAAACAGCAAAAGCTGGTGAGAACAGGAAAGATAGCGCAGTTGTAAAACACTAGCCATACAAGCCTGAGGACCCGAGCTTGATCCCCAGCACCCACGTAAAACATGTGTTATTCTAGACTAGAGGGGCAGGGCCAGGCAAGTCCCTGGGGCTCCCTGTCAGTCTACCTATCCTGACTCGAGAGTCCCAGGTCCGAGTGAGAGATCTTATGGTAAAAACAAGCTGGGTGAGGAATGCCCAAGGCTGACCTCTAGCATGCACATGCCCTGCACTAATACAAACACTGGGTCACAGCCGCTATAATGCCTATGCCGTCAGTACTCAATAGTCTACAGAGGAGGCAAACTGCAGCTGTCCTTTCCCAAGCTGGCCTTGACCTCATCCTCCTGCCTCAACTTCCCAAGTAATAGGATTACATAATGTGCAACAATACCACCACCTTAATTTTGTGTATTTATTGCTTTATAGTATAAGACAAACAATTATCTCAATAAAAAAAAGTCTCACTATGTATCACTGGCTGTCCTAGAACTTCCTATATAGACCAGGCTGGCCTAGAACTCACAGAGATCTACCTGCTTTGTCCCTGACTCCAGAGCCTGGGATTAAATGCATGTGCCACCATGCCTAGCTACCTTAGTTTTTAAAAATATGAATTATGCCTGGTATGCAGCCTGCCCAAGGACACGGTGCTAATAAAAGCAAGGATTTGACCTGCAATTCCTAATTCTCTTTTCAGGTCACCAGAACTGCTCAGCTCATTAGCTCCCTCTCTCCTGCTCTCACAGAGCATTTTCAATGAGATGAAGTCTCTAATTTTAAACTTGAGTTTTATTACTACTATTAGAGTGTGTGTGTGTGTGTGTATGGTGTGTGTTGTATGGTGTGTGTGTGTGTGTGGTGTATGGTGTGTGTGTGGTGTATGGTGTGTGTGTGTGTGTGTGGTGTATGGTGTATGTGTTGTATGTTGTATGGTGTGTGTGTATGGTGTATGGTGTGTGTGTGTGTGTGGTGTATGGTGTGTGTGTGTATGTTGTATGGTGTGTGTGTGTGTGGTGTATGTGTTGTATGTTGTATGGTGTGTGTGTGTGTGTGTGGTGTATGGTGTGTGTGTGTGTGTATGTTGTATGGTGTGTGTGTGTGTGTGGTGTATGGTGTGTGTGTATGTTGTATGGTGTGTGTGTGGTGTGTGTGCTTGCGTGTGCATGTGGACACAGGAGTGCCACAGTGCACACGTGGATGTCAGAGAACAATTTTTAGGAGTTGGTGCTCTCCTTCCACCACAGCCTCTAGGGATCAAAGCTGGGTCATCAGCCGTGCACAGCAAGCGCCGTTACCCACTGAGCCATCTCGCTGGCCCACATTCCTGTACTCTCAGCTGCCCATCCCAGGGCGTTCAACTTGGCGTGTCCCCCTCTCGTGCTCACAGTGCTTCAGGCCCAGCTCCTCACACAGCTGTGCTTCAGAGTACTCTGCAAAGAGCCCTAGTGGGCATGTACAGTCTCACAGCCACTGCCCAGAGAAGGGATGAGGGTTAATTCCTCAGACTCTGGCAGGACTAGCAAGTCACTGCATCAAATGCCAGCCAGCCTGGCCCCTAGCAAAGTAGAGCAGGCAAGTCTTCTCAGAGCTCAAAGACCCACAGCTACACCCAGCTTGGCTGGCCCCAATACTGGCTCTCTCTCTGCTCCTTTCTGCCTACAGTCATAGAGCTGAGGGGTCCAAGCATGGGCAGTGGGTGACAGACCACACCTCCCAGGGGCATTTGAGATCTGTGACATGAGAAGCTATGGCCCCAGGAGACCAGGGAGAGTCGGTACCCGGTACTTAGGAAAACAAGTCCAGGGCTGGCTCAGCAGGTAAAGCGCCTCCCTGGCATGTGGGGCACTGAACACACTGGGCAGATGGCACACGCCTGTATCCCAGGCACTGGAGGTAAAGGAGGCTCAGACGTTCAAGGTCAACCTCAGCCACATAGTGAATTCAAGTTCTGCCTGGAATACATGAGACCCTGCCTCAAACAAACACACAGCAAACGAGCTGAGAGCAGAGCAGGCAATGTTTCAAGGGGAGTCCAGGGCCTGGCCTGGGACACAGTAACCTTCAGCCCAGAAGACGCAAAAGAAAAACAGAAGCAAAGACTAAAGAGAAACCAGGGACCAAAGGGGCAGCAAACAGGAAGGAGGCAGGTCATCCTGGAGTTACTTGCCAGAATGAAGGAAGCAAGATGCAGGGTGATGATACAGCCTCGTAACACAGGGCCCTGCGTGTCACTTCCTCTCAAACTTTCAAAGGCTCTTTGCTGACCACACCAGGACCAAATCAAAACCTTCCCAGAGCCTCCCCATCTGCTTGGGGCTTCTATTTCCTAGAGCCCTCCTCTTCTTCCTCAGTACTGAGCCCTAGGACCCCCAGCACACCCCACGTCTGAGGGGAAGAGGAGACTCTGAGATGGGACCAACTGACCTGGGATGTGAAAGGTGAGCCCCACCTCACCCGACGGTGGATGATGAAAGATCATTCTCGAAAGCACTTTGAACTGTGTTGGCTCACAGTAAGTGCTCAAGAAACAGGCCGTTGCTCCTCTTGTCCTCCGGGCCCCTTCAGAGGCCTCTTCCTACCACAGGTAGGGCACTGTCTCAAATGTATTAGTTACTAGCTGGGCCACCTCAGCCAACCACAGCCTTTGACAGTGGGACAACCCAGGACTCTGGCCTCACTGCCCGGATGGCCAGCAAATTCGGGGCACACAGAAGACACTCAGTAAGTATCTGCTGCCCCCAAAAGCCTCGGCCACGGTCCTGGGGCAGACCCCACGTAGAACTCTGAGAGCCCAGCTCCAGGCCTCCCAGCACTCACAGCAAATCCCCAGTCTCATTTGCTGCTACTTGCTTTCAAAACAATAAAGGGCTGTACCCTGCCTTGCCTAGCGGTTTCTACTCCAGGGACCATACAGAGAGAAATGAGCACAGCAGGGACTGGAAATAGCACTGAGCCCCTCTTGGGGAGAGGACTGGGCGGGCGGGCCGGCCAGCAAACAGGAGCAAAACCTCCTAGGTCGAGAGTGGGAGAGACCTGAAGTCAGTGGCACACTGCCCGCCTCGAGTGTCTGAGCCCCGATTCAATGCGCAGCACAAGAAGAGAGAGAAGGAGAAAGCAGCCCCTAGACAGAAGTCCAGGTCCACAGAGCCCAGCCAGTGCCCTGAGCTAGGACAAGCTGGCCACATCATTCCGGTCTAGAAGCTCTTCTACTCTTTCCTGGCGCAACCCCACCACCCTGGGAGCAACTTATAATCCATGCCCCAGGACTGCACGAGCACCAGGTCAGCCCCTGGGGGGTATTTAGAGCCTCTCTAGTCACCATCTATGTCCCCCTCCCCAGCAGACTGGGAGCCTCTAGAGGCAGGTAGCAGGTCCTGTCCCTCCTCTGTGTTCTACTCCCAGGACATCAAGGAGAGGAATAGCAGAGCAGGGACTCGAGACAGCCCCTGAGCCGGGCACACAGCAGATGCTCAGTAAGTTACAAGGCAACATGGCAAGACGCAGTTCCCCACTCAGGGGTGATGGATTCCACCAGAGCTTACTAGTATCACACTGACATGAGTCACTAATTTCCTCCCCACCACCTGCTGCCTCAGTTTCCTTGTCTACAATGAAGCACAGTACTTGACTCACCCAGCTGCTGTGAGAACGAACTGGGAAAATATACATGAAAAGCAAAAGGCCCCCGAGGGATGTCAGTCACCCAGCTTGAGCTCAACTGTCCCTTTGTACTGAAGTCTTTTTCGCTGACCTGCCCCCCCTCCCCACACCTAGCACTAAACCCACCTCTGTACAACTCTGTCTTGTGTTTCTGGAATCCCTGTGGTTATTTATTTCCAAGTTTGATTCTGCCCAGCTACCTGAGAGAGAGTCCGCAGATGCCTGGATCATGGAATCTGTGTCCTGGTGAACACCAGCCTGGCTTTTGGGGCTCCCCCACCCTTCCAACTCTGTCACAACGCAGAACTCTCAAGAAGTTCAGACGTGCAGAGCCCAAGGGCCCACCAAACTTGCTGACACGGGAAGGGATGCTGCAAACAGCCTATCAAGAAAGCCAAGCCTCGGCTGGGAGGCGGCAGCATCACACACCTTTAATTCCAGGGCTCAGGAGGCAGAGGCAGGCGGATCTCTGAGTTTGAGGCCTGCGTGGTCTACAGAGTGAGTTCCAGGACAGCCAGGGCTACACAGAGAAACCCTGTCTCGAAAAACAAAACAAACAAAAGAAAAAAGCCAGACCTCTAAGACCTGCACCTCCGCTGGTGTGTGTGTGTGTGTGTGTGTGTGTGTGTGTGTGTGTGTGTGTGTGTGTGTGTGTGTGTGACTGTGTATGTGTGCGGGCTGAGTCTGCAGCATTAGCCTCCAGGGCACAGATTGCTACTTCTCTCCTTACATACAGCGCCTGGCAGTCAGATGAATAATACATGGTCCTTCACCTCACACACAGGTACCAGACAGGCAGACACCTGGTTTGCCCCACCGCGGCCTGCAAGAGGGAGGGGATGAGGTGTTCGGCCTCATACAGTCTCCCCTAGAAATCCGGGCCCATTCCTCAGACTCCCTTGCCTTGCCACTGCCTGAAGCCCCTTAACACTGGAGTCCTATCCAAGTAAGGTGTCCAAGGGCGTGCCCCGGAAAATAGGCGCAACACACAGGTCGGACGCACACACTCAATCCAATCTCTAGGATTCCTTTGAACACCAGCATGCTGGGGGCCTCGGATTCCTATTTGTCCCCCTTCAAATCTAATGACCTGTGTGCAAGGTGCACACACACACACACACACACACACACACACACACACACGTCCCGATGTACGCTTGTACCGCCTCGAGGGCCGACCACCCGGCCAGGTCAAGGCCACCGCATCAGGGACGGATGGATGCCTCCCCATCCCGTTCAGTCGTGCCAGGCTGGATACAGCACACCCACCGCGGCGCGCACAGTCCCACCGGTAAGAGGCTGGGCCCCGCGCCGCCCACCCCTGCTCCCCCACGGGCAGGTCCGGTTACTCTCAGGGCCCCGCCACGCTGGCGGAGCGGGCACACCCACGGGCCGCGCGGGGGCCTGTGAGTCCCTTCCTCCCGCGGGGAGCCCCCAGCGTGGGGCTCTCCCCGAGGCGCAGCCCTCGCCAGGTCCCCGCTCATCCCGAGCATCCCGCCGCCCGGGTACCTCAGGAGCCCATGGCGCTGGCGACTGCGGGCGGAGCTGGAGGCGCCGCAGCCCGGTACCTTCGCCGCCGCTGGCGCGTCCCAAGCCCAGCCGAGTACCGCCGCGACGCGCCTGCGCACTCGGAGCGCCGCTGGCGGGGGCGGGGCCGGAGCGCGCGACTGAGGTCACTCGCCGAGCCTTAAAGGGACCGCGTGCTGCGAAGCCCCACGAGCGCATCTCGGGTCAGGAGAACGGCTCTGGCTTCTCACAACTGGCAAACGCACTAGGAGAGTCCTAAGGCCCAAATTTCCGAGTGCCACCCACCACAGTCCTGGGATGCACAGACTGACCCTCTCTAACCCAGTCCTGGGATGCACGGACCGACCCGCTCTGACACAGTCCTAGGATGCACAGATTCTGCCCTGGACACCCGCGGGCTGGCCAGCGCTTCAATTCTCTCAAGCTTTTTCTGCGCCTACGCTGAAGGTGAAAGGAAATTTTAGTGGCCGTTTGCGACGTGTAGGGTGGGTGTGGGGCTATGGAGCGGACTTTCACGGAGCGTTTTGTGCAGTTATACAAAATGAAACTGCAAAGCACCAAAAGAGGCTTTTTCTTTCCACTCCACCCAGCTACCGTGGGTCCTAACACACCTCGTTCCAGGCCGCCTAAGTAACCGAATTCTGCAAGTGTCATTCCAGCCCTCTGTCTCATTTTGATTTGCGAGGTCCCCGCGTCTTACCCAGTTAACTGAAACGCGTAATGTGCAACCAAGTTTATTTTTATCTCCAGCTCCAGCTGTCTACCGACGCCTCAAACTTAGAGAGCTCAACAGCCTCCTCTTCCACACCCGTCTCCTAACAGCATTCCCCCAGCCCTGCTTCCAGTCTCCAGGTCAGAAAGTCTGGAATCTCCCACTAGCCACTTGAGCAGGACATCCTGCCTCCCTAGACTCTGACCCCCTCCGCTCCACCCCACTACTGCCATGTGATCCAGGCTCTGCCCAGGTATTGTGAACTGAGATAGTTGGGATTTCCCAGCCTTATCCTCTGCCAGTCTGTGTCAATGGAATGTGGGAATCAGAGGGATTCCTTTAAAACCTAGGTCTGAGCCGGGCAATGGTGGGGCTTGCTTTTAATCCCAGCTGAGGAACACTTGCTTAGCATTCATTAGACCCTGGGTTTGATTCCTTGCACCACAAAAACATAAATAGATGACAGACAGACACACACACACAGAGACAGACAGACAGATCCCAAGTTGAACTATAGCCCTTTGCTCAAAACCCTCTACTAGTTCCTCATTAAATTCCAAACAGAGCCGGGCGTTGGTGGCGCACGCCTTTAATCCCAGCACTCAGGAGGCAGAGGCAGGCGGATCTCTGTGAGTTCGAGGCTGGGCTGGACTGATAGCCTCCAAAACAATACAGAGAAACCCTGACTCGTAAAAACCAAAAAAAAAAAAAAAAAAATTCCAAATAGAAGCTGAGGTCTTCAGATGCCTTGCTCTGACATTCTCTTTCTCCAGGCATGCCTGATGCTGCCTCCTCCTGTCCCTGGACACAGGCCTCTTGCTGTCCCTACAGTCAGATGAAGGCACTCAGCTTCTAGGCCTCTGCACCTGCTGAGGTTGCAGGTTCTCCAGACACAGCTTCAAAGCCTGGCTCTACCGGCTGCACTAGGAAAGCCAGGGAGGCAGAATTGTTCTACCAGAGCAATCTGCCAAGCATCTATCGGAACAAGACTGCTGAGCCCCTGAGATGCAGTCAACACCTCACTGTGCCCTATTCTCCTAAGAACATCGTTTTTATATTTTATCCTTCATCTTCTTCCAGCTGAAGGTAAGTTCCAGAAAGACTGTTGCATTAACATTTTCTCAGGAGATGTGGACAAACATCCACATGCTCCAAGTAGGAGGGCAGCCGCCCACGACAGACCAGCAATGCCACACATCTCCCTCAATGAACCAGTGAGTTTATTGAACTTACTATGGTGACATGCGTGAGGGGCTACTGTCAGCTGGAATGTGTATCTCCTCTGCTGCATGTGGCCTCTGGGAGCCTTGGAGTATTTGGGAGGCAGAAAATTAATGGAAGGGAGGGGCACTCTTATGAAGCGATGGGGAGGTCATTACCCATGCTGGATTGAGACCTTTAGGTGATGTGGCTTTTTTCCCATCCGGCTATAAGCAACCCTTCACTCTGGCTCCTAAAAGCAGCTGTAATAAAATAGGTTCACCAACCTAGACTGGGCAGACTCATTCCTTTGTTCTGCAGTTGGTGTCTTACCCCAGACAAGAAGATCACATCTCGCTGGGTATTGGTGGCGCACGCCTTTAATCCCAGCACTCGGGAGGCAGAGGCAGGTGGATCTCTGTGAGTTCGAGGCCAGCCTGGTCTACAAAGTGAGTTCCAGGACAGCCTCCAAAGCCACAGAGAAACCCTGTCTCGAAAAACCAAAAAAAAAAAAAAAAAAAATCACATCTCCCCAGGAAAAAGTGAATGCAGCAAGGACAAAGATGTCTGACCTTTTGCTTCCTGACATAAACCCTGGGGCTGGCGTGGTAAATATGCAGAAAGTGTCTGTAATGTGTACAAACATAATAGCTAGGTCTGAAGGGGGAAACCCTGTGCCAGAAGAAAGGCGGCTCAGGGGTAACGACAACCTGAGTTTGACCCCTAGGACCTACGTGACTGAAGGAAAAAACAAGCTCCTACAAGTTGTCCAATATGCGCACACAGTAATGCACACACACACAAACACTAAATAAATAAAATTTTCAAAGAAAATTAAAAAAACCACATGTCCTTAACTATATTACTCAGGAAGCAGAAACAAGTAGGTCTCCGTGAGTTTAAGACCAGCCTGGTTATAGCAAGTTTTAGACCAGCCACGGCTACGTAGTAAGACAGTCACTCAAAATTTAAATAAATAAGTGAGAGAGTGGTAGCACATACCTTTAATCCCAGCACTCAGGAGACAGAGGCAGGTGGATCTCTGTGAGTTTGAGGCCAGCCTGGTCTACAGAGCAAGTTCCAGGACAGCCAGGGCTACACAGATAAAACTTGTGTGGAAAATACCTAAAAGATAAATAAATAGAAAGAAGACACCTTCCCAACCTAGGTTTGAAATACCCATTTGTTCACAACTTCCTGGTTCCCCTCCAGACTTGCTACCCCCTCTAGGGCAAAGTCCTTGCCCCCAGTTGTCACCATAGCTACACCACTTACTAACCAGACTCACTTTGATAACCCCTGACCCCTTCCAGAGCTGTTGGGCTGAACCACATCCAAATCCAGAATTTTAGCCCTGCACCCCAGGGGTACTCATGGCTCTCAACTTACAGAGGCCGTGTCAGCAGGGGCATAGGCAGGTGGTGGGCATTATAGGCAGGAATTGCCAGAAAAGGCCCACAAGACAGAGTCATCTGATGCGGTGACCCAGCTTTTGGCAGGTGGCACGGGGGTGGGGGGCCCGCAGGAGGTGCAGGGCTGGGGTAGCACAGGCGGCAGGGGGTGCTGGACTGGGGTAGCACGGGACGGGGTGCAGGGCTAGGGTAGCACGGGGGGCAGGGGGTGCTGGACTGGCTGCTCCTCCTTGAAGAAAAGCTCCCCTCACCACTTAGGCTGTCTAACAAGAAACCTAGGACTAGCCTTCTCTCCAAGCCTGTGGCCACCACCCTGCTGCGGATGCTTCAACTTCTAGGCCACCCTTCCTTCTCTACATCTGCCCGTCAGTGAGGAAGGAACCGCTTTCCCCACCCACAGCCCCACCCCCTTTCTATTCCGGGAACCACCAGCTTCCTTCAGGGACCACGGCAGGTACCAGCTTTTTGTTCCTTTTTCATCCTGTGTGCTCACTTACTTCGGCAGTGACTAGAACCCAGGGCCTCTGTAGGCCATGCCACAGCTGTTTTGTCTTTGGTTCTGTTTTGAGACAGGGCCCCATTCTGTTGTTCAGTTCAGCCTGGAATTTCCCATGTAGCCCACACTGGCCACTAATTTATGATGATGCTCCGTCCTTAGCCTCCCAGACTGTGAGGTTACAGACATTTTCCCCAAGGAAACCTTACAAACAACCTGACAGCCACTGAAGAAAGGTTAAAGAAATTGAGTGATCCACACAATGACATTGAGTGTAGGTATTAAAAGCCCTGCCTCCCTCCCTCCTTCCCTCCCCCCTCCCTCTGTTGGTTGTTTGTTTGGTTGGTTGGTTTTTCGAGACAGGGTTTCTCTGTAGCTTTGGAGGCTGTCCTGGAACTCACTCTGTAGACCAGACTGGCCTTGAACTCACAGAGATCCGCCTGCCTCTGCCTCCCGAGTGCTGGGATTAAAGGCGTGCGCCACCACAAACTGCTGAGCTAACAGCCTCTTTTTATTATTAATGATGATGATGATGATGATGATGTGTATGGGTGTCTTGCCTGCATATACATGCTTGGTGCCCTCACAAAATGTCAGGTCCCCTGGAACTGGAGTTACAAATGGTTGTGAACTGCAATGTAGGTGCTGGAAGTTGAACCCAAATCCTCTAAAAATAGCAGCCAGTGTCTTAACCACTGAGCCATCTCTCCAACCCCCTTAAAAATATCTCTTAATGCAGTTGGAGAAAGGCTCAGTTGTTAAGAGCATGCCCCCCCCCACACACATATGCAAAATTAAAAGTAATTACACAACCTAAAAACATAGTTTCTCAACATGATTACTCTGGCCATGGAGGAAATTATTAGGATTAATATTATATGATAAAGGTTGGAAGAAGTTTGTGTGGCAACCTGGCTTGAACTCTATTTTTAAAAAGTGTTGAAAGGGCGAGTGGTGGTGGTACACACCTTTAATCCCAGCACTTGGGAGGCAGAGGCAGGTGGTTCTCTGTGAGTTCGAGACCAGCCTGGTCTACAAGAGCTAGTTTCAGGACAGCCTCCAAAGCCACAGAGAAACCCTGTCTCAAAAAAACAAAACAAACAAAGGAACAGGAGGTTGACAGGGGTTGTAGCAGATGGGCTATCAAAGGAGTCTCCTAAGTAGCAGAGTTATGAGTAATGATTTTTTTTAATTTTCCAAAATTTGTTTCCCAAAGCATGTAATATCTTCAAACTTAGCAAAGAGTTATTTCAAGAAGTGATGTGTTGTCCCCATCTGTGTTTTCTTCTGATTTTGCATCATAATTCATCTGTCTGCTGGGGGGATGGGCGCCCTCTCCAGAGTGGAGATGCAGGGTCAGTTTATCTCTGTATCCTGTCGTACCTGGCTCAGTAAATAGCCACAGACAAAAAGTCTACCCCACCAGGTGGTGGTGACACACGACTTTACTCCCAGCACTTAGGAGGCAGAGGGAGGTGGATCCCTATGAGTTCGAGGCCAGCCTGGTCTACAGAGTGAGTTCCAAGGCAGCCATCCAGGACTGTTACATAGAGAAACCCTGACTTGAAAAACCAAACAAAACAAAACAAAACACCCCAAGAAAACAGTCTACCCTAATACTGGGAAGGAGACTGGAGACCCTCCTTCCAGTCTCCTCCTGACTTCTGGTAGGGGAGGGTTGAAGGGAGAGCAGGAGCCTCTGGCATGCATGCTGATGAAGGCCCCGCTCACCCCCAGCCTCTGCTCTCTTCCTGTCTCCAAATACACTGTAGGAGGAAGTCAGGTGCCCAGAGGGTCAGTCTGAGTAGCAGGCAGAAGTGCTTCCCAGCAGAGTGACCTTGGGCATGTAGCTTTGTCCTCTGAGCCTCAGTTTCCCCACCTGCCAGTATTTTGCTGCTGTGTCCAGAGCAGTGGCTCCTGAAATCCCCAATTCAAGCCCTGTCAGAATCAGACCTGGTAGCAGCAGACTGGCATCTAATAAAAAGTAAGCTAAACACAGAAGCGATGGGCTCACGGAAGTTCAAGCTGGAGGGTTTGAGGGCTCATACATGGTCAACAGGGCGCCCTGCTTTATTCCTTCTGTCTCTTGTTTGCTCTCCCACTCTGTGTGTGTGTGTGTGTGTGTGTGTGTGTGTGTGTGTGTTGGATACATTCCCAACTGCTCTTTCACCCCACTGACTCAGTGTGTGTGTGTGTGTGTGTGTGTGTTGGCTGCATTCCCAGATGGCCTTTCACCCCACTGACTGAGAGTCACGTCTTTCCCAAGAATTCCAGTCTATCCCAGGATTGCCTGATTGGCCATCTTGTGATCTTGTGACAAGGGTACCATCTCTGAGCCAGTCGTTGAAGAGAGGAAATGCCATGAGTGATGAGCCAGGCCTGGATGAAAGTCCTGAGAGACAGTGTGGGGGTGGATGGGTGGGTGGGGGTGTTCTTCTGAACCCAGGTCACTCAGGAGGGACGGGTGAGCACCTGAAGGATGTAGGTATTACAGCTGGAGGGAGAAGGAGCACCTGGGAAGAAACTACCTTGGAGCAGGGGAGCAGATAAGGAAGTTGAGGTCACTCTCCTAGGGTCACCCAGAAAAGACCAGCCTGGTGGGACAAATGCAACCTCCCCCAGAGCAGAGAGACAAGAAACAGGGCAAAGCCATGAGGAGGGGGTGGTTCTCTGGAGGCCTGTGCTTGAACCCGGCTTGAACTCCAGCTCTGCCGCTGATAGGTGGGGACGGGGTTAGGCAAGTCCTTGAGACCCACGAAACCTGTGTCCTCCATTGTCCCAGAAGCCCTTTTTCAGGGCCAGGGCCACAGTCTGGTTAAATGAAAGCACGGCTATGACACCAGGACTTGAGAAGGTAGAGGCAGAAGGATCAGGAATTCAAATCCAACTTTGCATACGTAGCAAGTTCAGGGCTAGCCTCAGGTGCAAGAGACCCGGTCTCAAAGAACTGAAAACAAAATGAGAAAAAGCTGCGTGCAGCAGCTCCCAGCTGTGCCCCAAACACTTTTGACTGAAGCAGGAGACCGTCACAAGTTTGAAGCCAGCCTGGTCTGCATGGTGAGTGCAGGTTACCCTGGGCTCACCATGTAGTGAGACCCCGTCTCAAAAGAGAAGGGCTGGTGGGATGGCTCAGTAAGGACAGGCGCTTGCTGCCCAAGCCGGGCGCCCTGGGAGCAACCCTGAGAAACCACAGGGAAAGAGAGAGAGCAGAATCCTGCTGTGGTCCTCAGACACTTGTGCACACGTAACATAGATACATATGATAAAAGCAGGAAAAGAAAAAAAACGGGAGGAGAGGGAGAGAGACAGCTGGAGAAGATAAGAGAAGGAAAGAATAGAGCTGGTTTAAAAAAGAAGTTGAGAGTTCAAGGTGAGCCTGGGC